AGCTTCCTCTCGTAATCTTATAACACAAAACCACCGAAATAAAGAACAAACGGTTATAGAGACACGATGGATCAGGGGATAGAGCGTTTCCTTTCCAATGAGGTGAACCGGGTTTGAATCCCGGCGATGACTGGTCGATACGAATTCCGCATCCGGCTTGCACTGACCACAGTGCTGACGTGAAATATCCTCAGTGGTAGACGGATTATGAGTTAGAGGCTACTTGTCATCAAGCTAACAGTGAGAGGTTCTCGTGGTCTCCCTCTCCATGTAATGCAAATGAGGGTTAGTTTTATAAAAAAAAGTCTTTCGCGAAAGCAAATTTCTCCCAATACTTGATCCAGAAGTTCCCTTGTCTTCTGGATTGGGTTTTAAATTACAAGGCTACGTAGTTGAACATTAGGAGTCGTAAACCCAAAAATTGGGTCCGCTGTTCAACGACGGTTATAAAATAAAAATAAAACAAACGGTTATAAAAGTTTTTTTAACTTTATATTTTTTTCAACTGTCTCAGATTATGTCACCTTTCAATTTTGTGCATGTTTTAGGTTGCGTAATATTCATATAATACAGATTTATAACTAACTGAATGCCCGTTCTTCGTAGATGATGAAAAAAAGTAAAATAAATCAGTGCTAAACAACACTACAAAATCATGCGCAGAACTAAATGTAATTTTTAAAATGTGAAGATAATCATGGAAATATCAATGGCTAATTGACATGGAAACAATGGCAGCCAACGAAAAAATTCCATTTTTCAAAGGTCTCTCCTGAACGATCTAATTGAAATTTTAGAACGATTTCTTTTCTTTTTCTTTTAAGATCGGGGGCTGAAATTGCCCCCATTACCCACTGCCGAAATTTTAAAACGTTAGCTGAAATGGTTCTGAGATTATAAGAGTGTCACACACACGCACACAAACTCTTCCTTTTATTATTTTTTTTAATCCGTACGAAGAATGGATATTCAGCTAGTCTATGATAATAAAAAGAAATATTTGTCTGTGCGTTTCTCTTATAATCTAGAATTGTTTGTATTGTGCTTCTGGAGTTTAGACAGCGGGGTGTTCACGGAAGAATTCTAGTTCTCGAAAACAATCATCCAAAAATCATAATAAGTTCGTTTGGAAGGCTTGATTTTTGTTATTCATGCTTCGAGATGCTTTAGTTTTTATGGTCACCAAAGGCGGTTTGTCAGTATTTGATTCCAGTAGGCTCACTTCATATATTGAAGACTATTTAAATGTGCGGGAAAGTGCTTTAGACTTAAATACAAGAATGACATTCAAAGCAAGTTATACTCACACAGTACTGTCAGATTGAAATCAGCTATGGCCGGATGACCTATTTCGTTATCGGCTGTACATCGATAATGCCCAGCCTGATGACTGTCCACTGATGCTACTTGCAACTGAGACTCGTCTACTTGGTGGACACCACTCGGTAAAGACGTCACCTGTTTAAGGAATAACTTTTTTTTATCGTCATATACCACTTAATCGAATGATCCCTTTCAAAATGTAAAACGTAATAACTTACAATCCCTTTCAAAAAAATAATTAAGTTCTCTTTGAATATATAGATTCAAGGCTAATGCGTAGTATTTGGATCATAGTATAAAGTAGAGAGCAGCTAGATTGTGCATAATAATTCACTACTAGTGTGGAACCACTAGAGGTTTGGGCTGTATCATCCATTATAGGAATTTGAGGGGAACGTGTTTAGTAGTTTATTGTAATAGTTTCGCTATTATAGAAAAAATTATATTTCCAACCTAAAATTTTTTGTTCCTTCAATTATTTTAGTGAATATATTGAAGCGTTTACACGAGATAAAAGATGTTTAAAGATTATAACTAAGCATTGGTAAAAGCTTTTGGGCAAAGAGGAGATCTCATCAACAGTTATTTTCTATGCTAATATTCTGTCATCATACACCATTAATTCCTTTGTTGTATATTGGAAGAAAAACCACTTATTTTCAAGCACATCATGTACTTGGAGGAAATCAAAATAATTTATATTTTAAAAACTGATTTTCTTATTTTTTCAATACAGCCACGAAAAAGAAATGTTTGAAGCGACTCATTCGAAAATGATGATTGATGCTTCGGAAAAATGTGGTGTTGAGATAATCCATTACGTTTCTAATATCCAGTAGTGGGCACTCCGCCCATGGTATTCCTCCCCTTAGTTTGCATAGCAGTTACTGGTGATGCCGCGAGAAGTCTTACGAAGCGTTTATCACTCAGTCAGGCATCTTCCTCCGATTTCCATATTTCGTACATTAGGCTAAGGAATCAAATTAATATTTCATTATGACGTGACATACTATAAATGTTTCCAGTTGTTAATCGAAAAGAAAAGAAAGAATCGTGTGATTATCATAAAAGTTTTTTTTTATGCCATTTTAAAGTGTCACTTAAATTGATTGGAGTATAAAATACATAAACCAGCATTTGTTCTCATCAAATATATTTTAACAGTCAATCAATTTACTGCTTTGCATTGATATTAAGTCACAATAATTAAGTATAAATAAAGCCTTACACACATTAATGATTAAAAATTAACGCACGAAGTGGTTTATCGAGGCAACATTAATATCATCAACTTGCTGTTGTTGTTGTAGTTAATTTAAGTCACACTAGAGCTTCACAATGGGCTATTGGCGACGGTCTGGGAAACATCCCTGAGGATGATCCGAAGACAAGCCATCGAAATTTTGATCCTCTGCAGAGGGGATGGCACCCCAGCTTCGGTAGCCCAACGACCTGCACGCGAAGTCGAGCACTTTACGGTAGAACAGTTTAACGAGGACCAATACCGCACACCCTCCGTCCTTACGCACACTGACCGCAACCAGTGATGCTTGACTTCGGTGATCTGCTGGGAAACGTGTCTTAATGACCAGTCCACTGCGGGACTCAAACAACTTGAATTGTGTAGATTAGCAATTAAGATTTGCACGCATCTATTCCTCCTTTCAGTTTCATTCAACAACAAAAAATAGGCTTCGATTATTTTAAAAATATTATTCATGGCAACAATTTATGGTAGGTGAAGAAGGTGTATCACTTACGTGAGTTTCGTTAGNAATTTTTTTGATTAAAATTTTGTTTCAAAATTTTCTTCACCGCAAAAATTAATTAATGTATTACGGAATGTTGAGAAATCTATTGGAAGAATTCCCGATATTAGTTCTTATATGTTTTAACATCTGACCATCTAATTAAAATAATCCAGTTTTTGTTCTCATCAAAAGCAGAATATTTGATTGTGTATCTATCGAAAAATCAAAACAACATTTCGTTACTTTCTTGAGATTATATTAAATACATCAAACTTTAATAACTCTAATACTAATTTGAAGTTTCAATTAAGATGGAAATAATTTTTCTCCTTGTTTGTTTTTGTAATGATTTTATTGTCATTAGTTTTGCTTTGTATTGAAACGTGATTATAAATTATTTAATTGCTTCAAAACTGACTCGAAATTCGCACGAAGTACGATGCATTATTCATTTTCAAACATAACAGTAAAGACAGTGTAGGCAGGATTGAAGCGGGGTGTCCACAGTCGTATAGGATGGTCATCACTGCCCAAATTAAATCCGGATTCCTCACTGAAAACGTCTTAGTTCCAAGGTTCCATTCGGTTGTCAGTCCCGTCAAGACCGACATCACTGCAAACGGGAATAACAGTAGATTGGTATCGATCCTGCCTATGCTGTACAGCAACATACAACTTCTATAGTTGGTGTGATGGGGTGCTATTGTGTGCGATCACCCCTAATATTGGCCCATGGCAACGTGTTAGCCCAGCGATACGTTCGTAACATCCTTTAGCCACATGTGTTGCCACTTATGGCAGGGTTCTCAGGAGTCATTTTTGAACAAAATCCCTCCTTATCTCCCTTCCCTCTCCTCCTCTTTTCAGTTATGTAGGAATGTACTACGATATTTCTCTTTTCTTAATATTTTTCCTTTTTACTTAATAAAAATATTTTTAAAAATTTCCGTGATACTTTTCTTTAGAACTATGTTTAATGTAGTTTTCAGTTCCATATAGTTTTTCAAGTTAAAAGATTTTAATCTATATGAAAATCAAGAGAGAAACTAACGTACTTCCTTCCTCTATGACTTTCCACACGCTAATGGGGAAAGCATGTGAAGTGTTGCCATAGGAAAAGAGTTCTGCTCTACGCCACCTGCAGCCCATTTCGATCGCCAATCGTAACATTACCACCCTTTCCTGGCTTGCTTGATCCCTAGATTCGTCATCAAAACTATCATATCTAGGGCCACTTGGGACGGCAAGTTGGGCAGCACCTGAGTTTAGTCGATTTAGCAGTGTTTTTACAGCAACTATAGAACGACAATATAAGAAATTACTACGTCTCATTCCCCAACTGCATCACATCCTGCATTCGCACTAGAGGTGGTCCCACTATAACCTCCATTCATTTATATATTTTTTCCTGCAATAAATGATATTTTGCTTTGATTTTTTAATTGCTTACATATATCAACTTTGTACTTACGTGTGTTAAGCTGCGTTCCTTTCCGACAACTCTCTCTAGATGTGCTAATTTTTATGTCAACAAGTATTGTATAAGATAACTAAATATGTATAAAATTTTTTTCGCGATGTGTCAAATTATAAATTTTTTCTTCCCGTCCCTTAGCCCGCCGACCCTATCGGCAATCACCGTTTAGCCGACCTGGCCTGAAAATATAAATATATCCATTTACTGAAGCAAACATATGACAAACGATACAACCTTTATGTTTCGTCAGTAATACAAATTTAAAAAAATTCTATGGCTGACATTTATGCTATGTTTCAAAAACACACACCTAATAGTATTTTTTATATTTGGAACAATTAACTTCAAATTATCTTCAAAACCTGGTTATAATTTACTGAAGAAATTCTGATTTATTGCACTCAACCTGAAATAGATAAGATTGAATTAGAAACAAGCCAAAAATGTACCTGAAATTTCCACTGTCTTCCAGACTTGTCCAACGGCGTTCTTTCCTAAGCATGTGTAAGATCCTAAATCCTCCCTGCGCATGCGCTGAATTTTTAACCAAGATTCAGCCATGGTAGGAAGTGTCATTTTTTCTCGAATTTTTATTCTGTCATCATCCGTGTGCAGGTATCTCTCGTGTTTCGGGTCCCCTTTCATCCACACCAGTTGAGAGAGGGGCGCTGACCTGCAGGTGCAAACAAGTTCAACTGTGGCCCCTTCATCGCCATGAATCCAGTCCGGCCGAACAACCACTTCTGGAGCATCTGCAATGGTTTTATCTCTTACATCACGAGATAGTTCATTCCCGGTTTTAAATGCACATGTGAACCATATGAGATGGGTGAACAGCAAATAATTGAGGATAATGTGTATATAGTTAGAAAACTATCTGAAACCACGTATTTGTTCTGTTTATAGTTACGCTTTTGAAATGTCTTTCAATAAATTTAAGTAATTTCTCGTCATATCGATGTAATGGGCAATAATAAAATCTAATAAGGTTTGCAAATTTATCGGGGAAATTGCTTTTCTTGACTATCATCATCCGTTATTCGCAATCAATGGCATTATTTTCGGGACTGAATGTATAGTTGATTTTTATTTAACTTTGATGACTTGGAACTTCTCTTAACCTTATAACATAAAACCACCAAAAGAAACAACAAACGTTTTTTTTTTTTAATTTTTTTTTCTCAACTTCATATTGCTTTTCAATTTTATGCATGTTTTACGCTGCGTAAGGTTCATAAATGGAGATTTAGAACTAACTGAATACTCGTTCATCGGAGAGGATGAAAAAAGGTAATAAATCTGCGCTAAACAACACAAAAAAATCATGAGCTGAACTAAAAGACGTATACTAACACAATTAGTTCTTTTTTTAATTCATGATTATTTTTTGTTCTTACCAGTGGCTTTACGTTATTAAAATAAACAATACACATTTTCAGTAGTTGATCCCATCAAATAAAAATTAACTGCATTCCGTATCATTTCGTATGATACTATGGCCAAATCACGATAAGAAAGTTTTCCACATTCAAGCAATTCAACTGGAAAATCTATTTCCACACTATTTATATTAAAGATGCACAGTATTGGTGAAATTTAATTCGGTGCCAAATATACTAATTGTATCTATATTAATATATTTGGTAGTTATTAAAACTGTATTAATTACTATAATACCAGTAGTGCCTATTAACAAAATCAAATAAGTATCATTGGCGGCAATCGTGGCATAGTCATTTTTGTACGTTATTCCTTTGCGAATTAGTATAATCGCTTTATTAATTTTGCTACTAAAAAGTAAACAGTTTTCTTGAATTTCTATTAGTATCTATTACTAAAGCTAATTAAGCATCATTGGCTTCAAAAATAGTATGGCGAAATTTTACTTTTCTCCTAAACGAAATGTATCAGTAGGTATCATTTATCCATTAATTTTGTTCTTTAGTATCTATAATTTTTTGTTTTTGTTTCAATTAATACCTATTACTAAGATTGTTGTAGTCAATTTACGTCGCACTAGAGCTGCACAATGGGCTATTGGCGACGGTGTGGGAAACATCCCCGAGGATGATCCGAAGACAAGCCATCACAATTTTGATTCTCTGCAGAGGGAATGTCCCCCCCCCCCGCTTCGGTAGCCCAACGACCTGCACGCGAGCACTTTACGGTAGAACAGTTTAACGAGGACCCTTACCGCACAGCCTCGGTCCCTACGTAGACCGATCCAAGTGGTTTCCCACCCGCACACTGTCCGCAGTCAGTGATGCTTGACTTTGGTGATCTTCTGGGAACCGTGTCTTAACGATCAGTCCACTGCGAGACCCTATTACTAAGAATAATTAAACATCACTAGTGGAAATTCAATCAACCATCCGTAGCTCAGCATTTAAAATGTGTTTCTATAAAATTTAATAATTTAAAACTAACGATAAAGAAAGTAAAAAATAATATATGTGCTGAAAAGCAAAATTTATGAAGAAATAGTATGGATTCGTTTAAAGAACACTCCATACAATTTTTGACGCCAATGATGTTTGAAAAATTTCGTAAATAATTACTATTGAATTAAAAAAAATTAAATTATTTACTAAAAAGCGTAATTAATAGAAGAATTACATAAATTTATTTAGGAGAAGCATAAAAATTGCCGTGCTGCTATTAATGCCAACGATGCCTAATTAATTTTGGACGTAGTTACTAATTAAACGATAAAAAAGCTTTGTACTAAAAGCAAAATTTACAGAGAAATGGGAATAATTTATTTTGAAGAAAAACGAAAAATTGCGAACGAACGAATAGTATGGTAAATTTTGACGTTTATGAGTTGGCCTCGGGTAAGAGCATCATGTCAAATGATATTGAATTCAGTTAATTTCTGTTTTGAAAGAATAAACCACTAAAAACTTGGCAGTATATAGACGAATTACGTCATCAAATATACATCTGAAACCATTTCGTTATTTTGTATATAGTTATTCTTTTAAGTCTTGTCAAACTAAATTATTTAAAATCAACGGTAATTGAAAAGAAAAAAAAATTATGAACTGATAAGCTAAATTATCGGAGAAATGTTAGTAACTACCTTCCTAAAACCGGAAGAAATTTAGAAAACTTCCGTTGCATCCGTCCGCTTATGTTATACTTATGAGACAATGTGTGAACAAGGTCAATGTTCTAGGAAGTTATAATATTGTGATTCGTGTTACGCGTAATTTTACCATTCATAAGAGTTTCCTGTAATTAATAAATTCTAACACGTTGTGAGCCTAAAACAAATTTAACAAAATTAATATCACAGCATTGTAAAGTTAGCCACGGTTTGAATGTATCCCTTATTTGGCTATATTTGTGTAAAATAGCACCATTTGTAATTTTTTGGGTAGCATCATTGCAAGCTTGTGGAGACTTCCGAATTCGTTTGTTTGTTTCGTTGAAAGTTGAATTGTAAGAACGTGTTATATTGAAAACACTACAAGTACAGGTATATTACTGGACGGTACGTTTTTTCAAGCTTAGGCTTATACATTATTCGGAAGTAGTTACCCGGAAGTCTTACGACGAATTTTAACCCCTCGGGCCATGTGGGCCTAACTTTACATGGTCAACCATCCATAAGCAAAATGAACACTTGCTTTCTTAAGAAATACTAGTTTGGTGACTTCCACTTAATTTCCTCTGACATAACAAAGAAAAAAATATATTTAACTATTAAAGAACATGAAATGAACTTCTTTTCTTTATTAATGAAAGCTATAAGCTAGAAAACATCATTGATGTTATTAAAATGTAAACATAATCATGGAATTTATTAACGGGTGATTGACTTGGAAACAATGGCAACCAATCAAAAAATTCCATTTTTCAAAGGTCTCTTCTGAACGATCGAATTTAAGTTTTAGAACGATTTTTTTTCTTTTTCTTTTAGAATCGGGGGCTAAAATTACCCCCTTTACCTACTGCCGAAATTTTAAAACTTTAGCTCAAATGGTTCTGAGATTATAAGAGTGTCACACACAAGCACACAAACTCTTCCTTTTATTATTATTTTAATCCGTACGAAGAATGGATATTCAGCTAGTCTATGATAATAAAAAGAAGTGTATGTCTGTGTGTTTCTCTTAATCAAGAATTGTTTGTATTGTGGTTCTGGAGTTTAGACAGTGGGGTGTTCAAGGAATAATTCTAGTTCCCGAAAACAATCATTCATGAATGATAATTAGTTCGTTCGGAAGGCTTAATTTTTGTTATTCATGTTTCAAGATGCTTTAGTTTTTATGGTCACCAAAGGCGGTTAGTCCGTGTTTGATTCTAGTAGGCTCACTTCATATATTGAAGACTATTTAAATGTGTGGGAAAGTGTTTTAGACTTAAATACAAGAATGACATTCAAAGCACGTTATACTCACACAGTACTGTCAGATTGAAATCAGCTATTGCCGGATGACCTATTTCGTTATCGGCTGTACATCGATAATGCCCAGCCTGATGACTGTCCACTGATGCTACTTGCAACTGAGACTCGTCTACTTGGTGGACACCACTCGGTAAAGACGTCACCTGTTTAAAGAATAACCTTTTTTCAATCGTCACGTACCACTTAATCGAAAGAACCTTTTTAAAGCGCCACAACTTATATTCCCTTTCAATAAAATTATTAAGTTCACTTTTAATCTATGGATTCAAGGATTTTTGGATCATAGTATAAAGTAGAGAGCAGCTAGCTTACAGAAAAAAATATATTTCCTACGTGAAATTTTTTGTTCATTCAATTGTTTTTGTCAATGTATTGAAGCAATTACACTAGATAAAAAATGTTTAAAGATTATAATTAAGTATTGGTGTAAACTGTTGGGCAAAGAGGAGATCTAATCAAAAGTTATCTGCCATACTAATATTCTATCAGCATTCACCGTTAGTTCCTTAGTTGTATATTGAAGGAAAACCACTTTTTTTCAAGCACATCATACACGTAGAAGAAATCAAAATAATTTATATTTTGAAAACTGGTTTTCTTATCATTTAAATACAGCCACGAAAAAGATGTGTTTGAAGCGACTCTTTTGAAAATGATGACTGATGCTTCGGAGAGATAATCCATTACGTTTCTGAAATTCAGTAGTGGGCACTCCACCCACGGAATCCCCCCCCCCTAGTTTGCACAACAGTTACAGGAGATGCCACGAGAAGTCTTACAAAGCGTTTATCACTCAGTCAGGCATCTTCCTCCGATTTGCATCTTTCGTACATTAGGTTAAGCAATCAAATTAGTAATTCATTATGACGTGACATACTATAAATGTTTCCAGTTGTTCATCGAAAAGAAAAGAAAGAGCCGTGTGATTATCATGAAATCTTTTTTTTTAAATAATTTCTTTATTAATACTATTTACAGTAAAACAATATTGACCTCTTCTGTAAAGAGGCCATTTTAAAGTGTCACTTAAATTGATTGGAGCAAAAAATACATGAGCCAGCATTTGTTCTCATCAAATATATTTTAACAGCGAATCAATTTATTGTTTTGTATTGATACTGAGTCACGATAATTAAGTATAAATAAAGTCTTACACACATTAATGATTGAAAATTATCGTACGAAGTGGTTTATCGAGGCAAAATTATATGTCTTCAATAGAACTTAAAAGCGTTTCAAGCAACTTGAATTGCGTAGATTAGCAAGTAAGATTTGCACGCTTCTATTCCTCTTTTCAGTTTCATTCAGCAAAAAAATAGGTTTCGATTATTTTAAAAATATTATTCACGGCGACAATTAATGGTAGGTGAAGAAGGTGTATCACTTACGTGAGTTTCGTTAGGTAGTTGGTAGGTCCAAGTGATGGATGGTTTGGGGACCCCGTTCGCATGGCAGATCATTTTCGTGGGATTTCCCCTCTGTTCGATCACCTTTCCGTGAGAGGGATCAGCCGATATGGACGGTGGAACTAAAATACAAATTCACTGAATATTATTAAAAATAAAGATTCCAATATCGACGATCCTTTTATCAATTAGTTTAAATTATTTATGAATTACACTACTGGCGATTAAAGCTGCTTCACCAGTAAGAAGGCATGCCATACTTTTGAAGTTTGCATGAATTGAAAGATAAAATGGAGAGTTACATTCGAACTTTTCTTTGTTCTAATTTGGGATAATTGGGATAATGCCTCGAATAAATTTGGTCTTGCGGTAATGCCTCGTGTAAGAAGAAAATGTGCCTAAAAGCATGAGTGAGTTTTTGAATTCGGGATTGCGGTTTGTCGTACTGCAAAATGGCTGCTCGCTTTTTTGCGAAGATCCCTTAACTGTCCACAGAAAATGGGTACATTACGGTGATTCGGAACTTCGTACTATAATTCAGCCTCCCCCCCAAAGAAAAAATAATAATCCAGAGGACAGCCAGTTTTTTCGCATAGGCACAAAGGCATGCACAGCCACATTACTAACTATGAGTTTGGAAAATAAGTCGTTAACAAGGCAAAATTATTGAGCCTAGAAAGTTTGGTAATATTTGCAGCAGTATCGACCGGAATCTCGTCAACCTTGGTTTCTGCTATTTTTGTTACTGTCACAAACAAGCTTATGGACCCACGAATCTTTATGGACGAATGTCGCGGGATAGGGTCTCTATACAGAACCGTCCATCATGGAGAACACACGTTGTTGACTTGCATTAGACATTGTCATATTGGTACATCACCCACTGTGTTTATATTGGTTGCTCTTCGATACGTGAATTGGTCACCTCTAGCTCCTGGCATTTAAAAGGTCAACCATTATATTTCTGACCTGTTAAGATCCGTAACTCTGTCCTATGTTCGAGGCTTTTCTAACGCTACTTTTCAGATGGATAATGTAATACTTTATGTTGTTCGCATTCTTTGATCTTCCTCAATACATTCCTTTTACATTCTCCATGCAGCTCATTCTGCTGATGAATGAACAATTGAAAACGAGTAGCAAAATGTTGCCAAGTGACTGACTTACCACTACTCACCAATTACTACTCTCAATAAACTGTGGCATATTCTTGAAACTTTTATGGCTGAAATTCATAACTGGCCATTCCCAATGCATTCGTTTGATAGCTGTTTTGGAAATATGCGAGCCTGATTGATGGAATATATTTTCCAGGGGCACCAATCGGGTTTCTCGTCCGGTGATTGGAGGTACGGCAATTACATGCAGTGATAATACTCTACAAATACCATATAATTTCTCTCGTTCAGACGAATAAATGCTACTATTTCTGTCAGAGGTAACAATTTTTCGTAAAGATTTCTCAAGGTATATACTCCCTAATTTTCTGTAAATTTAATCTTTTGCGCTTTTCTCTATGCATAGTAAATATCATTCTTCTTTATGCATTTCTTCGTGTAGCAAGTTTAATGACAGTTGTTTCAATGAACAATTCGCTTACAACTGCAAGCTATTGAAACCACATGCATCGATAATGTGTCACAATATAATGTAATAGTTCAATATGATTTCTTGGCCTGTCAGTCTCCTTGCACCTGTTTGTTGGCCTCTTCGATCTACACGCGTGAGTCTGGTTGCTCGTAAATTTAAGTTTTAAAGAAACAAGCTCATTTAAAATCAAAATTAGATGGCTAAAATAGGATAGAGTATAAATATCGAGACACTTCCGTGATGGGACGGTCACCCAGCCACCTAGATTTATATTTTTCAACATGTACCCTCAGCCTCCACTCCATCAATGTGACAAAATCAGAATTATCCCGATATGGGTACATATGATGGTTATTCATTTAAATGTCTGCCTACTCCTGCGACTGTTTTTGTTTCTGATGAAAACCCTTTTGATGATATGCTGAGTCTCGCGCAGGGTTTCACCAGAAGAAGTTCGATTAGTTAGGGTTCGTTAGCTGAAAGTGTTAAATTTGAGTTAAAAACATTACAGAAATGTATTGTGGTCTAGATTATACTATATTTATTTAACAGAAAGGAGAAAAGATGCCGTTACCGGCATAGCAAAATGTAAACAAACTAACTTGCAACAACCGTTGCCAACAACAGAATGGCTAGATAAAAACCAATGTTGCCATTACAAAGAAATGTGATTCGAAAAATAACATTGTTAAAGGCATGTATTTTAACAGAAAGAAGGTGGGAGCCGCTGCTCTAGCCTACCATAATTGTTACACTAAATCTTGCATGACCTCTTTTAAATTAATTTTTCAAGATGAAGCTTAATAATATTAGTGTGATATTTGGATTTTCACTCTCTATATGCAATGAATAGCAAATAAAAACTGTTCTGTTTTTTTTCCACCAGCTAATACCTTCTCTAATTGCTAGTTCCGGCCAGATTGTTCTACGCACGCGCATATGTATGTGTCTAACAATTAGGGGACCCCAGACTTCTCAGTTCTAAGTAGTAAGTTTATAAGTAATGAAGCAAATGAAAGACTATTTTAGAAAATTGGTAGTTCTTTTGGTTGGTGGCTCGTAGTAGGAATTAAAAATTTTATGGCAGCTCAGAAGCTTGACAATTTCGGTGATCACTGGTCGAAAGAATGCTCACCAGAAATGGGAGATGTTTGACGATAAGTGTTAAGGACTATTCTCACTGCATGCGGTTAACGCACCCCTGATCTTAGTCGAGGAAATATGGGAACCTCATTGGTGAAATATATTTCACCGCGAAAAACTCAAGAACCAGATTCTCTTTTTTTCTCGACGGCGATCAGAGGTGCGGCAACAGTATGCAGTGAGAATGCTTCTTTATTTACATATTAAAATCGCACTACTAAGCATTCTTATATTGTGGACGCATTTATCTCAGCATAACTTTACATTTACGTTAAATGCTCTTTCACAAAATTAATAAACGGTTATATATGCAGTCTGCTTTGCACTCTTCTTACCGCGGAGGTTGGCACTGTTATCGCTATAGTATTTCTGACTAACAACCATTACGTGAGAAAAAAGGTGGAATAATGCAAGGCACAGTATACATTTAGATTAATAATCTTACCCAAGACAAGTATATTGTGAAGGACCTTTAAGTGTGGTTTTCTGAAGAAAGAACAGAGGTATTCTCCCGAGTATTCCTGAGTGATGTTGACGATGTGTAGAGAGGATTTATCGGCCAGGCTGATCTTCGGGTCACTCGACACAGAGATGAATCCGGAGAAGAGCAGTCGAGAGGGGAGAATCCTCCACATTCGGACATCCGTCTCGGCTGTAATTAGAACCTCGAATCAGTAATGCAATACGTTGCTCCATGCCCTGACTTTTAAAACAATTTCCAGTTCTCCACCCCCCGAAAAAAAACATTTCTATATCCAGCTTACACTTGTGATTTTAGCCATAAGGATCCAAAAACCAAGCTCATATTTCATCCGATTGCACAAGTATTCTCTGCTCATTTTAATTTGCTTTCTAATTGTTTATATCAAAGATATGTAAGCCACTTATGTAAACACGCAAAACCTTTCTTTTTTTTTGTAGCTCTATCGAAGATATGATTTTATTTCTGAGCTCAGATGCATGTAAGAGACTATATTTCTTATAATAAAGCAATCTATCAAACTATATTAAATATACAATAAACAAAGATCGCGCTAGTATTATAACTTCTTAATAAAATTTTTTTTTGTCTAGTTTTAAAAAGACATGACAAAAACCTCGTTTTTTCTGAAAGTCTAAATCTGTTTAAAGTTTCCTGTTTTTTTGCGTAATAAAAATAAATCACAAAATAAACTATTCCATTGTTGACGGTTTACCATAAAATTATCTCTGAAGAATGAATTTTAAAACAGTTCAATTTCTTTCAATGAAAAATGATTTTTCTCCCACGGTGTAGCTGGTGGCCGCAAGCTCCTTACGACCGACTTTCGTAGCAACAACTTTTGGAACATTTCTGTCTTGAATATTTCTTAACTGATGCAAGATATATCCCGAAGAGCCATTACATTATGACCACCCTGCTAATAACATGTAGAACCACCTTTAGCCCTCAAAACTGCTAGCACCAGCCATGGCATTGATTCCACAAGGTGTTGATAGGTAGTCTGAGGTATCTGATACCAAGCGCTCACCAACTGGTCCTGCAATTCCTTCACATTGCGAGGGGGTAGCGTGGCAGCATGAATTTGGTTTTCCAAGTAGAACCACAAATTCTCTATTGGATTAAGGTCAGGTGAATTTGGGGGCCAAGACATGACTTGAAAGTCACTGGAATGTTCCTCGAACCAATCCATGACGATTCGACCCTTATGACATAGTGCATTATCCTATTGGTAAACACCATCCTCCGCAGGAAAAACTGTTGCCATGAATAGGAGAACCTGGTCTGCAACTATGTTCAAGTAGCTTACAATCGTCAGGGATTGTTCTATGAGGATTATGGATTATGGGTCCTAATGTGCCCCATGAAAACATTGTTCCTGGGCGAGAGACCATGAAAACCTGGGCGAGCCCATTGTTATAAATGGAGGGTGGTCATAATGTAATGGCTCTTCGGTGTATGTTACAGTGGCTACTCTTAATAATATTAATAATAATATTAAAAAAATACTCGCCTGTGTTGAGAGCGTTACAGGGCAAGAGGACAGAAGATCCCTCGATGACTTTCAAGTGGCTCGAAGTGGACAACATGCGAGTCTCCTCTTCGACACTCTTTTGTAATTCTGTGAGAAAAAAAACACATATGTAAATAAAACTCATCGAATCCTTTTATTTAAAAATCTTATTGTTGATAGAAGAAAAAATTAATAAAGGATGCAAACTCTAAATAACATTTTATCTGTGGATCGGACTTTTTTAATCAGTTTTTAATCAGTAACTAAATTCTGATATAAATCAATTGAATACCAGCCAAAACATAAAAATTAAAAAAAAAAAAAAAACTTTCCTTCAACATTAGCATTTAAGTAAACATTTTAAATAATCATTTCTCGGGCACGTCACGATTTTCATGCTGTGCTGAAAAAAAGTATAAAATTACTGAAGAGAGTAATAAAACATAAGAAGAAAATGCTTAAATAGTTTTATTTTATAATGCAGCCATAGATTATGACATAATAAAATAAATAACAAAATAAAAATAATAGCATAATACATTCCACATCACATAATGTGTCATAATAAGTTTTCAACTCTAAGTAATATGTTGGAAAAAAGTATAAAGTCGGTGCAATTTTTATAACAGTTATCAATGTCAGATCCTTTATTTTCGCTTGAATCTCGCATTCATGGACCCAGATAGAGTTCGTAAAATGAAGGCATCTTCATTGCATCTATCAAATTCGAGTTGCTCTTGAATTGCCGGCCAGATCTATAAACGCCTCTTACTATTACGTTCTAAAGGGTTTTCATCAAATTCAAATCTGGGCTACAAGATAGCCACAAAAAGGGATTTAATCTCATCTGCTTTCATCCCGGATTTAGATGAATATGAAGTAGAGACTGTCCTGTTGGAAGGTACACTCTCCGGATGTTAAGAGGAGCAACAATGCAATAAATTATCTCTCAATATATTCTGATAATTAATTGAATTTATTTAAAATCGTATAAATATAATTGGAGTTGTACCGACTGTTGCACTAGAGACTCAAAAAACAACGAACCCACCACCAATTGAAAATGAGCGTGGTTCAGTCCGTAAGACGTACCAAAAATATCGACAGCCATCTGGACCATCCAAATTAAACTTCTCTTAACGAGAAAAGACCACATTATTCCAATTCATGCCTTTCTTAAAGATATTTCTTTGCAATTGTTAAACGAGTATCTTGGTGTAATTTATTAAGCTGAGGTTTACCTTTTTAAATTGAATGTTCGGATTATTACCTAAACAATTTCTAACCGTGCGACTGCTGCATATCAATTTTAATTTGTGTAGATGACATCCTACCGTGACAAGCAAGCTTCCAAATTCGTGCCTTTCTTGCCTTCCAATATTCTTTTTACTGTCATGGCTTTCAGGATTCCTGAGGTAAGTATTCACTGCAGCCTTTGACCTTTTTTGTAATTTAAAAACCCCTCCAACTCATTTTTTTAATAAAAAAAAAGCTAAAATTCTAACTAGGTTACCTTATGAGTTTCCCTTGGCGTGCAAACTATCAAAATGTGCTTTAATACCAACTCGGCTTTGCTACAGCAAATAGCTTTCTCGCATGTTTTATGACTGACAATGACATAGTTGGTATCGACTTTATACTTTTTTCAGTCAATTTTGTCATGATTTTAATAATAAGCGGAATAAAAATAAAATAGTCACACAAAGCAATTTGGCTCTACATTTACAAGTAGAAAATAAATTTGCATATTCAGCTATAACAGTGGTGTTTCATATTTTACTCGACTTTATACTTTTTTCCAGCACTGTATTTAGAGATATCATCGGGGGGAGGGGGTGTTTCGCTTTGTAACAACTATTAAAAAAATAAAACTGCTGATGGATTGAAACAAGTTTTTCACTTTTTTCCGACAGTTGTTATAAAGGATCAACGAAACTAAGTATGTAACACTTGGGATACCACAAAAATTAATCAAGTAATCATAAATTAAATAAATTATTCAAGAGTGAAGTATTCAAAATTGATGAAAAAAAGCTGCATCGGTTATTTGGAATAAGGGATTTTAGTAAAAAAGAAATTTAATATTATTTACTTATTTATTTTCCGATGAAAGATAGTTTGAAAATCAAAACATTTACACGGTTTCAATTGAAAAGAAAAAAATTCTAAGTTATGTTGATGAATTAAGTTTATTTTTTTATTAATGTTTTACTTGATTCATTCACCCGTTTGACTAAAGAAATTCGCAATTAATTGAGGCTTGTGACCGTTCGTGAGCTGGGGGAGAGAGAAAGAGAGAGAGTCAATTGACTCCAATTGACCTCTCTCAGAATCAGCATTCATTCTTTGCTCTTGAATGTCTTTCTGACGACGGAACATTCATAAAGGAAACCCATATCTCTGAATTTTATATTCAGATCACAAGCATCATCCACAGAAGCAAAAAAAAAAAAAAAAACTTATCTTTTTTTAAGCTTTTTTTCCTATTTTCTTTGTTTTCCTTTAATTGAATTTTGATCACTGTCAGGCATATTACGTTCAGTATATATATAAGTTCAAAATGAAGATAAAACAAAGGAAAATTATAGACATATGAAAAAAGGGGAAAAAAGAAAAATAATAATAAAAAAAGTAACAAACAACTGAAAAAAAAAGATAATTTTTTTTTGAAAAATTCGGAAAATAAAAGATATAATCTTTTTATCAGCCCACACGATTATATCCGTAAAAAAGAGTGCTTTCTTATTGTTTTTCTTAATTTTCTTCGTGTTTTTATTTATTTATTTATTTTGCTATATATATATATATATATATATATGGGTCATTCTCACAAAAACAGTCATTTTCATGTCCCCCGTATTAGTTGTTGAAAACAAAACNTGACTGCAAAAATATCGTCAAGGAAATCATCAGGGTCACACTAGAAGATCTACTAAAAGTTAATCAGGTCTAGTCTCACTGGCCCTCCTCTCCAGATCTTCATTCGTTCCCCCAGTAGAGCCATCGGCCGGCATCCGGGCACGCTTGCTTTTACTTTGTGTGCCTCTTGTGTTTTAACTTCTTGCTAGTCTTGACTTGTATACCTCTACGGCCCTGACTTGTTGCTGGTTTTAACTTTTAAATTTTAAATCTTTCGAGCGCATGTAACTTTTTTGTATTACCACTGGTTGGTTTTATTTTCATGAGTCCCTATTGATTCATGGTTTTAACTATCTTGATCACTTTGTACCCCTTTTGGCTTGTTATTGCTCTTTTAACTTGTCGTTGTTATATATTTTTAACTTTCCCATTTTGGCTGTGTATTGCCAGTGTTTTATTTCTTGTGAATGTTTTGGGTGCTTCTTATGGCAGCGAGGCACGGCCATAATAAGGGTCTGTAGACCTAATATAAGGATCTTTTGATTCGGCTGTCTCTTGCTCAAAACACAACCAGTTTTTACTTACTTTATCGCTATGCATTGTTCTTTATCTTTCTTGTGTATTGTAAATTTTGTATCTGATGGCCTGTTGCCATCCATCCACTTGATGTAAATTTTGTATTTTGTATTTTTTGTATTTTGTATTTTTTGTATTTTGTGTTTTTAATGCCTCTCCCGTATGCCCATAGATGGGCGGGCCGGGGACATACAATAAAAAAAAATATATATATATGTACCATGTGCTTTATTAATGACACGATAGAACAATTAAAGTTTTAACTTGTAAAGCTGACACAATATCGTTACCACTTAGGGAAAAAAGAAAACTTCATACATCCGTACAAGTTGACACCCATGTAGTGATACTAATATATGTAACTTAAAATGTGCAATGCCCTCTTTCTAAAGTTGGCTGCATTAGCAAACTTTATGTCATCACGTCCATGGGTAGTCAAAACGCCATTCGTTTGGTGATAGAAATCTTTCATACATTGATTAATTTCATTGGTGTAATTTCGAAGACAGAATTTCCACTAAATATTCTTCTCATTATTAAACTTACAAATTCATTCCAAAAGTAAATGCTAAGTTTTTAATGACCATTCATTAATGAGATGAGAACACCACGCTTTTCGGAGTAAAATGGAACAAACTTTTGGAGTAACTAAATTTAGAGGAAGAAAAAGGAGGCAAAGGAGAAGGGTTTTCTTTTTCTGGCTCACAACTGCTATGATGATGACTTGCTTCCGTTATAACCGCTGCCAAATCGAGAGAAATGGAATTTAATAAATCAGTCACATTTTAAAGACGGTTTCAATGATTTTCAACTTGGGTGAAAGATTCCAAACCTTTTTTTTTTTAAATGTTAGTGAATTTGATCCATAAAAATTGTTGGAATGCGGTTTCTTTCTCTTCTTTTGGTTTTTAATTTTATTTCTAACTATTTTGTGAAAGAAGAAAAAAAAATACTCGTTGTTGCATAATCACAAAAGAAGGTTTTTTTTGGCCGGGGGGGGGGAGGGGAGGGAGGAAAACACTGGTTATTTGTTTTGTGAGAAAATAGTTTTGTTTATTTTAACTTAGGAAATATATAATTTTTATATTATGTATGTTATTTTCTCTCTATATCAAAAAATCGTAAGGGCCACCTGTTTTGGGTGCTCAACATAACGTTGCATTTTGTCTGGTTGCGCAAAAACTATGAGGCTGAGAACCTTCAAATTACTAAAAAATGTAAGAAAGTCTGCAAAAAATACAATGGAAGGAAAAAAATTAACATTCGATTATTTGTTCGAAAATTATATATATTTTTTTCAAATCTTCTAGGTAATTGTTTATTTCGTTATGATTCACACATTAACAAAATGTTCTTACATAAAACTACAATAATTGCATATTTTAAAACTAAGATGCTCAGTGTTTTTTGTGAAAAATATTAACGTCTAAGAAGAAATATATAGTGATAAATGAGAAACAATTATGGGGGGGGGGGATTGGTGAGCAAAGCGAGTAGAGGACAAAACCTCTAGGTTTTTTTTAACCTTTTTTTCTTCTTTTTTTTTAATAGGCAGTTTATAAGAAGTACACATACAAAAAGATATCAAAAATGTCTTCAAAAACTAAAGAGTCATTTTCTGTATTTAAATTAAATATTTATGTATTTATCGCAAGTTTTTTAAACTCCTCTCTGTAAGATTCTGTAACTTATACACACGAAGGGCTTGAAACAAAGAAAAGCCTCATTTTGGACGTTTTCAACATAGTGGTATTCTTAAAAATTAAGAAATGTTTGCAAAATACCTTCGTTTTTAAACAGTTTTCAGAAAGGGTGACTTTTTATGTTCCAATTTCAAGGAATGAAAATAAATAAAGAGGCATTTTTTATTTTTAAGTACCTTTTATATAGTTTACTATTCATTTCCCAAATTATTACGAAATTATTCTTGCAGGAATTACATTACATTTCAAATTTTTAATTGTTTGATTGAAAAATACTGAAAAATGTAGCACAATCCTGATTATTTGAAAATATATTTAATAATAAAAATGCAGACTATAGAATAGAGACAGCATTCAATGATAATTGTCTAGAAGATCAAAAACAGAAACAAAAGTTAACTTAAGATTATTACTAATTTATTGTTTCATTTTACAAATATTATCTGAGAATCGCTTCGACAAATCGCCAATTTGTAAACGAATCTTCTAAGATGTGCTGACACTTCTTAAAACAATAATAATAAAAATTTATTGCTTCGTTTTACAAATATTTTCTGAGAATCGCTTCAACAAATCGCCTATTTGTAAACGAATCTTCTAAGATGTAGTGACACTTCTTAAAACAATAATAATAAAAATTTATTGCTTCGTTTTACACATATTATCAGAGAATCGCTTCGACAAATCGCCTATTTGTAAACGAATCTTCTAAGATGTAGTGACACTTTTTAAAACAATAATAATAAAAATTTATAGTTTCGTTTCACAAATATTATCTGAGAATCGCTTCGACAAATCGCCTATTTGTAAACGAATCTTCTAAGATGTAGTGACACTTTTTAAAACAATAATAATAAAAATTTATTGCTTCGTTTTACAAATATTATCTGAGAATTGCTTCGACAAATCGCCTATTTGTAAACGAATCTTCTAAGATGTAGTGACACTTTTTAAAACAATAATAATAAAAATTTATTGCTTCGTTTCACAAATATTATCTGAGAATCGCTTCGAGAGAGCGCCTATTTGTAAATGAATCTTCTTCAATGTGGTGACACCATAAAAATAATAATAGTTAAAATTTTACTATGTGTAATCATATTTTCCTCCTTCGCCTTTTGAATTTTTAACGTGTTAAATGCAATTCGGCCTTCTTCCAAGTTCGATAACAGGTGTTTGAATAATTTTAATAAAATATTATAAGACACATTCTCTTTAAATATGACATTTTATGCTACATTTAAAATGAGCGAGTCATTAAAAATAATAAAATTTCGTTTCAAGTACTGTGTATTACAATGTCTTTCAAAAATTGTAAGAATATTTGAGAGGTTCTACTAAATTTTCTCTGAAATGTATACAAATAAATTAGAAAATAAATTATGTGCCGTAAGTTCTCTCAGCAATTTGAATTCTAAGAAACCGAAATAGATTAAAACCGTAAAAAAAACTTTTGAAAGAAGGAAAATATAAAATATTACGCAAATGCATTATACCTTACACTGGTAATTTATAAAATAATTAATATAATAAAAAATTATACAGTGCTTTAAAAACTACACTAAATAACGACTAACAACCTTATTTAGTGTAGTTTATATCTAAGTAAAAGTTATATATCAGCATCATATAAAAGAAATATAAGTTATATATATATAAATCGACGTAAAAGTTTTTAAATTTTGTTTCCTTGAAACCACGGCTTTCGAATTTGACTCGGTGACTTGTATTCCAGAAAATTTTTTGTTAAAACTACAACACTNCAGGGGGGGGGGGGAGCAGACAATGGAGAGGGAGAAAAGGGGCCCCAGACATCCAGTCAAAGGGGGCATCATACCAAAGAATATATAAGTGAGTCACATTATATATTCTTTGATCATACTATCATCTAAAGACATCTTACTAGCATCATCATGCCTCTTTAGATGCTTAGATATTTTAGATCCAGTTCGGTAGGATAGGCCCTACAATTGAGAAGGTTTTTAAGTCTAAAAATTACAAAGTTTGACTTATTTAACACATCCGAAATTGCTAGCTAAACTATTTAGACAAATAATTCCAATTAAATGAGCTCAACCCACGAATTAAGAGAGCTTAATAAGGCATTTGATATCTAATTTTTTAACTTGTATTGATCGACTCTTTGCTTATAAACACAGATATGATTCATCATTAGATTCAGCGGTTAAGAAACAATATCTCACTTGTCGAGATATCCCCCATATCCATGTCAAAAGCTTAATCCGGAGACAAAAATTTTACTTTTTATGGTTAAAAGCACTTACAACTTCAGTAGGGGAAACAGAGCGACTAGAATGAACATGGGGCTAAAATAGGCTTGAATAACTTTTTTATTTATTGGTCAAATTTCGTATGTAAGATATCGTAAATAAACATAGGTCTTTGGGGAGCTAGTGTAGACTCATGGGAACAAAGCTTATGTCCACATGCTTTTAAGTGAATATTTTCATTTATAAGTTGGCAACTTTATTTATTTTCTTTTTTAAATTACGGTAATATTAGATAAATATAAAAAAAAATTGTAACTTCTTGACAAGAATGATTCAAAAAGCGTTAACAAATTGGTACTAGTCGAGTTTTAAGTTTTTTTTTTCTTTTTTTTTTTAATAGAAAAAAACTCTGTTGAGTCTTATCTTGGTAAAATGGAAGTTTCTTAAGAATTTGAAGATTATGATGTTCAATTATTAAGAAACAAATATGTATATAGCTTTTCTAATCATAAATCTTCATTCTTTTTAGAAAAAAAAATCAGTAAATTTCAAGCGAAAAAATAGCTACCAAACTTCCATCACCAATAACTGATAGAGCTAGCAAGACTGTATATCAATACACAATTAAAGTTGGCGTTTCAGTTTTTTGATAACATAAAAAACAAATTTTAAAATATTTAACAAATAAACCAAATTAAATAATTGTTTTAAAATGTATTGATTTGTGTTCAAAATGTCTTTCTTAGTGTAATGAAATGCTCAATCATAAATCAGTATTTTAATTAATATATGTCAATATTTATTCTCCAATAAGACACAGACTAAAATTAATTTCATTTTTGCTTTAAATATACCTTTCTGATTTGTAATAAAGGACTACTTACGAAGTTATCAATTTCGTTCACACTAAGTGTGGACGAAAATATACTTTAAAAAAAAAAACTTAATTTTTTTGTAATTCCAAATGTAAACCAAAATGCAGAAAAACGTGTTACTGTTAAAAAAATAATGAGTTATAAACTATATTTAATATGGTTTTTTGTACAAATTGTAAAAAAAAAAAAAAAAAAAATCGCTATAATCATTCCTATTGACAAGTTTCTCTATAATCATTTCCATTTAATCGCGTTCAATCTCATTTAATTCAGAAAAAAAACACGGTAAACAATACTTTAATTGTCAAAATAATGTTAATGATAATTATTCCCCTCCCATCGAAACGCATAATTGTCAGCCACTTGGTTGAACTTTTTTTTCTTCTTCATATTAGGGTTATGCCTTACCTTTTACTATACTAAAAGTATTGACTCATTTATCTCCTTTTTTTAAAAATTTGGAGAAAAAATGTTTATTCAAAAATCAAGATTTATCCGCTAAGAGCTCTTATCTCAAAATCTCTTATTCTAAACTAAGCTTATCAAAAGTAATTTCCAGGCTCAGAAACATAAGTTAGTGCAAAAATTAAATTATTCTGATTTTCATCTTGTATAAAATGTTAAAAATCTTTTTTGATTACTTGATATTTTTGATTTGGTTGAAATTTTCAAGACATGTTCTTTACAGAAAACTAAAACACGTGTTTTTATTTTTTATTTTGAGAGAAAAACTTTTTTTCCCTCAAGAGTTTTGTGTGGTCAAAGCTGAGAATCTTCTGGAAAAAATCACATCAATTTACAACACTTTTTGTGAATTATAATTATTTCATTTTATGAATTATAATTATTTTATTACTTCCACACTAACTATTAAGGCATAAATACTGTGAGTGGACATTTGCATCGAAGGTGAAAGGTCATTCGAAAACCTTTTTTTGACTTTGACCATCGAAATCTATTTGTGCCAATAGCGAATCACAAATTTATATTTTTTGTGAATACATATTAATTAGTATAGTGCCTGAAAAATAAACATGCGTGTAGTGTACATTTGAAAATTGATCCTATAGTAGCAAGAAACTGAAATTTTGCACTATTTTCAAAGTCATTCACTGCCTTCGCCAAAACTAGTTGCTAATGAAGCAGAAACATAATCGATTCACAGATATAATATAGCCATAAACTTTGAGGCCCGTACCTGAGTCATTAAATACCGAAATAATTATGAGAAAGCTGCCAATTGGTTTTTAAAGAAATGTGATTTAGGCCCAACATGAATATTTGAACCTAATCCGAGATGAGCTTTAGTCTCTATCTGAAATTTAATATTGTAATTCATAATCCTAATTCAGCGTGAAATTTTTGATACCTTACAATTTAGTTAACCTCTAACAAGTTAATTTATTTCCAAAAACGTTGCAAACAAAGGATCCCCCCTTCCCCCGATGAAGTGATTTGAAAGAAGGTTGTTAGTCTTACCTGAGGAGGCAGAAAACGAGAGGAGGAGGAGGAGGAAGATCGCCAGAGATTCGTATTCCATCTCTTTCTTCTTTTTACTGTGAGAAGATAGGGTTTTCTTTCTCTTACATCGAATTCGCCAAGAAAGAACGTCATTTCAAACGCATCGCGCCAACTTACGCTTGGCATCGTAACTACTTTTTTTTTTTAAAAGAAAAATAATGTTTTTTTATCCCCTACCCAATTTCTTTCTTACTTTTTTTTCAATCGTTCGCTCGCTGCAGCAGTGATGAGAGTTTTGAAATAGTTCCAGCAGCACTCATTCTCATCTCGTAGAGTAGAGTTCCGGGCTTTTCGAAATAACAGCGTCACGGACATCATGTGACACTTTTGCTTTTTACAGATTACCGAATTGGAATTCATATTCTGTTGTTATGAGTTGCGATGTTTTTAGTAGTTAGTAGAAGTCGGGTTTTGTGTATGATGAAAATGCTATGAAGATAGAAAATAGGATCATAGCTCAATTTCGAAAAATTGGCAGCTGGTTTATTTTCTCCTAAATAATCTTCAGAAATCGGGGTTTGAAAAATATCATAATTTTTCTTTTAAAATAATCCAATTTTGTTTTATTTAAATCGAATTTTGATTACACGCCTAGTAGCTTTTAAATATTCAATTTTTTAGAAAATATATTTTAAATATTTGATTTTTTGCAAAATATATAACTTAAATATAAAGTAATAAATATATAAGAATGATTGCAAAAATGTGCTTAAAATGATAAATGTGACTGAAATATTTGAAAATATTTTTAATATTACTCAATATTCTTATATATAATATTTTTGAGAACATGCGTATAATAAGACAATTTAAATATTACATTATTAAACTAACTGATTATATGAATTTTTGTTAAAATTATGAAAGTATGCTCACATTTTTCGTTTTATTATTTATCAAATTTTTTGTTTTATTATTAGTTTAATACGCATATATTAAAAATTTTTAATAAAATGAATTAAATGACTGAAAAAATGTTTTACACAGCAAAAAAGAAAAAAAAAACTATAAAAAAAATGTAGCATGATATAAATAAGTTTTCTACCAAAAAATACTTTGATTGATTTCAGTTCGAATGAGCTAAACTTTCATATTGTTTTCTGGCAATATATATCAAGAGGGTGTTTTTTGTTTTTTGTCTGTAGAAAATCAAGAGGGTGTTCTTTGTCAGCAAAAAAATAAAAAAGTGAATTTTAGCTCAAATAAATGAAGATTTTTTTTATCGCACTAGGAGGTACCGTTCACTAACCCTCAATCTTCAATTCTTTGTTCCTTAAAAGTCAATTTAAAAAAAATCATTTTGTTTATAAAATATATCGTTATAAAGACTTCATATTAGCACATTTTGTAAATTTCCCGTTTTCCACATGGTTTTAGGAAAATCAGACCTTCTTTGCGCCAAATTTCAATACTTTGCGAGAATATCTATAAGAAGTCCTTTTATGATCCAAGTATTAATATTAAACAATACCCCCCAGTTCTTCTTGTTGTTTTAAATTCTAATGTTTATCGACACTTATCCAAACTTTTGAAATGAATTAAATTAATATTAAAAGATGTTAAACTTATATGGTAGTGGCTCACCTTAGCTCCTAAATCGACAGGTATGAATTGGCTCCTAAATCGTATAGGTATGATTTAGGAACCCACAAGTGGTACTATTTTGGCAAACTACATCACTGTTTAAACGAAGCATTATTCCTAGCCTCAAACAATTGTTAGCTACCAAAGAAACATGTAGAACATTACAGAATAAGCAGTTTAACAATTTATCTGATGCATTTAATAATTTACGCTTTATCCTTACACATGATGTTCTAAAATTACATTCAGAACTTAAATTAAAACTTAAACGCGTGTACACAGCCAGCTTCTTCTACCTGGATCTTTAGGTGACAAAAGCTTCTTAATTTACCTGCTGCTAGGGCATTCTAAGCTCAATACTTCATAACCAGGGACGGTGAAAGGGGCGGGCAAGGCCTTAGAGAGCCTCAAAGGGCAAGGCGGGTTATCGCCTGGAGCTTCAGAATATGGGGTTCATTTTATATAAAATAATAAATGATAATGAGTTGATAAATGTTTACAAACCTCTCAAATGTGTCGAAAAGTTGTTGGAAAAATAATTTTCAGCAAAATGGGGACATACTTAATACAAAGTGCCTTTAAAATAGTATTTAAGTATCTGCAATTATAAGCGCTATTTAAAATATCTCACGAGCAACGGAAATGAGTACAAAAATTCTATGAAATTTAACTAAATCGAATGATAAAACTATTGAGTTTGAAAAACGTTGTTTAAAAACACACCATTTTAAATTTATAAAGCTAATTAAATAAAAATTTGTAATGCAGGTTTAAACATGCTGAGTCTTTCTCATTTATATGAGCTATATTGTGAGAAAAGAAGACGCAAAAATTTAATCTGGAGACAAACGCTTGTGATTAGTACCATATTTATTACTATAGCTTAATATTTTGTATAGCTTGTTTTCAAATGAATAAATTTACTTCATAAAATTTAAAAACAAATTTCATCATCAATTTAAGAAGTGCTCTTTTCGTTGTTGTTTATTTCAGACTATTTTAACTGATTCTTTTTCTCCCAGTGTAGGTATGCTAATTGAACTTTTTCCATTAAGTGCATTACGTCTTCTTTTTATATTTGGGATGTTAACTTGTTATGTTGGTTGATGTTATGTTGGTTATGATGTTATGTTGGGTGTTTTATTCACGTTTTAATATTATTATTTAATTTTTAAAATTTTTTAGAAAATAATCTAAAACTAAGTAAATTTATTATATTTGCATTTTCGGATTTTAGACGTCCGATGATAAAAGAAATGCATAGGACAAAAAATATTGAGAATTTCTGTTCCAATTCTTATTTTATATCACGTATGTTTCTTAAATCAGATTTTTTAAATATTTTTATAATTTTATAACCATCGTTTACCAGCCGACCCAATTTTTGGGTTTACGACTACTAATGTTCAACTACGTAGCCTTGTAATTTTGAACATAATCCAGAAGACAATTGAACTACTGGATCAAGTATTGGTAAAAATTTGCCGTCGTGGAGGACTTTTTGATGGAACTAACCCAAATTTGCGTTACACAGAGAGGAAGATCACGAGAACCTCCCACGGTTCGTCTGACGGCAAGGGGACTCTAACTCATGATCCGTCTACCACTGAGGATATTTCACGTCAGCACTGTGGTCGGTGTAAGCTGGATGCGGAATTCGTATCGACCAGCCATCGCCGGGATTCAGTACAGTTCGTAAGGCGAACGCTCTATCCCCTGAGCCATCGCGGCTCTAAGAAAGAATTTAGGGTTGATACAGATATAATAATTTTCCGGTAGAAATATTGTAATTTAAAATACAAAAAGTAGTTTTCCACAGCAGTAAGACTACGCCACCGAGACAAATCAAGAAAAAAAAATTCCTCTAAAATTCTTTTTCTAAGATAGAGTTAAGGACGTCAGTATCGCCCGGGGCTCCAGAACGTCGGTACTGAGGGCAACTACCGGAGTATTCTATTTGTATTATAAATGTATATTATATTGTATATAAAAGTTCGAATTTTTCTAATGAAAAGAACAAAACTGTATTAATATATTTGGTACTTATTACCCTTACATAATCCTTCAACATTTAAGTTGTGAAAAATCAATTGTCAGTGTCAGCCAAATTAAGCCGAAATAATTTTTTTTTTAAAGTAGAATTTTTATTAGAACTTGATAAGGATTTTGGAGCATGACCATTTCTCTATCTAACCTTTAATTTACTGTTAAAATATTCATAATTAGTGGTGGAACAAAGTTCTTTTAATTCTAATTCATTAAAATATTAATACACTATCTTTGCTAAAACTACGGAAAAATTGCTGCAAAATTCTAATGAAAACTGCATCAATTACCATAATACGGTAACCAGTAGCATATACTACCGTCAATAGTACACAATAATTAAGTGTCATTTGTGAATGGCGATTTTCTACGGTTTTCCGAGTCAAATTTTCTATTAATCTTTTCACTTTTAACCTTGTTTTTTAGCACATAACTCACAATTTATTTTATTTCAATTAATACATATTATCAATAGTGTTAACAAAGCATTAGTGTTAATAATATGACGATTTTTTACCTCTCACCAAAATTAATAAGTATTTTTTACAATTATCTCCATTATAATTATCTCTATCTTCATAAGTATCACCATTATTTTTGCTTTTCAGTACATAACTTTTTCTAATATGAATTATCATATTACCGACATTAATTAAGAGGGCAATTCCCCGGAAGTGTCAACTTTTAAGTGAAATTTTTGTTTTTTTTCATGAATTGCATATTTTAATTTTAAAAATATGTTCAAAAATAGCCAAAGTCTACATATTGCCGTTTCATTTTTGATAATTTTAAATTTTTTGAATCTGGCAGCATTCTAAAGTAATCACATGGCTGACAAGTGAATTGTTCACATTTGTGCTCAAATTGTTTTCTTGAAAAATACTTATAAAATAAAATAAATGTATCTTTCTTTTGCAATAATTTGATAAAAATATGCATATAGAACAAAATGTAAACATTTTAAGTTTAATATATAAAATAAATGTAACTTCCTTTACGTCATTCCGTCACATGTCTTAATAATGCATAAATTTCCTGAGAACGAAGATAAAATGTGACATTGGCAAGTTAGATATAAAACCTCTTCAGAGATAACCTAATTTTCAAACTGTTGTGTTCAAACTTAATAATGCATAAATTTCCTGAGAACGAAGATAAAATGTGACATTGGCAAGTTAGATATAAAACCTCTTCAGAGATAACCTAATTTTCAAACTGTTGAAAGTTTTATTGATTCTTACATAAATATTAATCCTGTTTATCTGTTGCATTCTGTTTATCATTTACATATTAATAAAACATTTTTTAAATGAAGGCTTTCTTCTACTAAACTTTTCGTCATTCCGTCACAGCAAATAAATGTTAATAACTGCTAGCCAACCTGAGGATAATTTTCTAAATTCACATTTTACATTGCTTACACATTATACTAAGAGTATAAAAGAGTTCAGAAAAATAATAGCTGCAAAATTCGCAGAAACTACCAGTTCTAAGCGGCATGCCAAAAGCTTGATTGCCAAAATGTCATTCCGT